CCAGCGACAAGCTCCTCCCCGGCGATCTCATGTCTGTCAACCGTACCAAGGAGGACAGTGGTGTTGCTTGTGATATTCTCCTGATTGAAGGCAGTGTCATTGTCAACGAGGCCATGCTTTCTGGTGAGAGTACTCCCCTCCTGAAGGAATCCGTCCAGCTCCGCCCCGGCGATGACTTGATTGAACCGGATGGATTGGATAAGCTGTCATTTGTGCACGGTGGAACCAAGGTTCTCCAGGTTACCCACCCCAACGCCGGCAACGATTCGTCCCAGAAGAACCTGGCTAGCAACATTACCATGCCCCCGGACAATGGCGCCTTGGGTGTAGTTGTCAAGACCGGTTTCGAGACTAGCCAGGGTAGCCTGGTTCGCACCATGATCTACTCGACTGAGCGTGTCTCCGCCAACAACGCTGAGGCTCTCTTGTTCATTCTCTTCCTTCTTATCTTCGCGATTGCCGCTTCTTGGTACGTGTGGCAGGAGGGTGTTATCCGGGACCGCAAGCGCTCCAAGCTTCTTCTGGACTGTGTCCTCATTATCACGAGTGTTGTTCCTCCCGAACTGCCTATGGAACTGAGCCTGGCTGTCAACACCAGTCTTGCTGCTTTGAGCAAGTTCGCTATTTTCTGCACTGAGCCCTTCCGTATTCCCTTCGCTGGACGTGTTGATGTGGCTTGCTTCGACAAGACCGGTACTCTCACTGGAGAAGACCTTGTTGTTGATGGTATTGCTGGACTCACTTTGGGTGAGGCTGGTTCTAAGGTCGAAGCCGATGGTGCTCACACCGAATTGGCCCAGGCCTCTGCTGCTGGAGCTGAAACCACTCTTATTCTCGCCAGTGCTCACGCATTGGTGAAGTTGGACGAGGGTGACGTTGTTGGTGATCCCATGGAGAAGGCTACTTTGGAATGGCTCCGCTGGACTCTTGGAAAGAACGACACCCTTTCTTCCAAGGGTAACGCCCCGATCATCGCTGGCCGCAACGTCGAGTCTGTTCAGATCAAGAGAAGATTCCAGTTCTCCTCGGCCCTCAAGCGCCAGAGCACTATCGCAACCGTCACCAGCAACGACCGCAAGACCTCCAAGAAGACCAGATCCACTTTTGTTGGTGTCAAGGGTGCCCCAGAGACTATCGGAAACATGTTGATCAACACACCTCCTAACTACGAAGAAACCTACAAGTACTTCACCCGCAACGGTGCCCGTGTCCTTGCTCTCGCCTACAAGTACCTTTCCTCTGAGTCTGAACTATCCCAGGGCCGCGTGAACAACTACGTCCGTGAGGAGATTGAGTCCGAGCTGATCTTCGGTGGTTTCCTTGTCCTGCAGTGCCCCCTGAAGGATGATGCGATCAAGTCTGTCCGTATGCTGAATGAGAGCAGCCACCGTGTTGTAATGATTACTGGTGACAACCCGTTGACTGCAGTCCACGTTGCGCGCAAAGTTGAGATTGTGGACCGTGAGGTTCTGATTCTCGATGCCCCCGAGCATGACAACTCTGGAACTCGCATCGTCTGGCGTACCATTGATGACAAGCTCAACATCGACGTTGATCCCACTAAGCCCCTCGACCCGGAGATTCTGAATACCAAGGACATCTGTATCACTGGATATGCTCTCGCCAAGTTCAAGGGCCAGAAGGCTCTTCCTTCTCTGCTCCGTCACACCTGGGTTTACGCTCGTGTGTCTCCTAAGCAGAAGGAAGACATTCTTCTCGGACTCAAGGATGCTGGCTACACCACCCTGATGTGCGGTGATGGTACCAATGACGTTGGCGCTCTGAAGCAGGCTCATGTTGGTGTTGCCCTTCTCAACGGATCTCAGGAGGACCTTACCAAGATCGCTGAGCACTACCGGAACACCAAGATGAAGGAGCTGTACGAGAAGCAGTGCAGCATGATGCAACGATTCAACCAGCCCGCTCCCCCGGTCCCCGTGCACATCGCCCACCTGTATCCCCCTGGCCCCTCCAACCCTCACTATGAGAAAGCCATGGAGCGAGAGGCACAGCGCATGGGTGCCGCAATCACCGCCGGCACCGAACCTATCCCGACTATCACATCTCCTGGTGCACAGGCTCTGCAGCAGCAGAACCAGAACCTGAGCCCCCAGCAGCAGAGACAGCAGCAGGCCCAGGTTGCTGCTGCCGGCCTTGCCGACAAGCTTACATCCTCCATGATGGAGCAGGAATTGGATGACAGCGAGCCCCCCACTATCAAGCTGGGCGATGCCTCTGTTGCTGCTCCTTTCACCAGCAAGCTGGCCAACGTTATTGCTATCCCGAACATTCTCCGCCAGGGTCGCTGCACTTTGGTTGCTACGATTCAGATGTACAAGATTCTTGCTTTGAACTGTTTGATTAGTGCATACAGTTTGAGTGTCATTTACTTGGACGGTATCAAGTTCGGTGACGGACAGGTCACCATCAGTGGTATGCTGATGAGTGTTTGCTTCTTGTCCATCTCCCGCGCGAAGTCCGTCGAGGGTCTCTCCAAGGAACGCCCTCAGCCCAACATCTTCAACGTCTACATTATTGGATCTGTTCTTGGACAATTCGCCATCCACATTGTGACTCTGATCTACCTGTCTAACTATGTCTATAAGCACGAGCCGTACGTTGACCCAGTTTCCCCCTTTCAATCACACTTACTAACACACTCATAGAAGAGATAGCGATATCGATCTCGAGGGCGAGTTTGAGCCGTCCCTCCTGAACAGCGCCATCTACCTCCTCCAGCTTATCCAGCAAATCTCCACCTTCTCGATCAACTACCAAGGCCGTCCCTTCCGCGAGTCTATTCGCGAGAACAAGGCTATGTACTGGGGTCTCGTCGCGGCCTCCGGTGTCGCATTCTCCTGCGCCACCGAGTTCATCCCCGAGCTGAACGAGAAGCTGCGCCTTGTGCCCTTCACCAACGAGTTCAAGATGACCCTGACCGTGCTGATGATCTTCGACTATGGTGGATGCTGGTTGATTGAGAATGTTCTCAAGCACCTGTTCAGTGACTTCCGTCCTAAGGATATCGCTGTTCGTCGCCCCGACCAGCTGAAACGCGAGTCGGAGCGCAAGTTGCAAGAGCAGGTTGAGGCTGAGGCCCAGAAGGAGCAGCAGCGTAAGGTTTAGAGTAGTGGTTTGACCATTGTGTATGTATACATAGAGGGGGTTTGCACGTTTCTAGAATTGTGGTTGTGTGCATGACATTTAATACATGATTTCGCTTCTCTAGTGGAGGCCTTTTTGCTTTCAATCTTCAGTCACACTTACAGAGCTTTATCAATGTAGGCATACAACAAGGGTCATAAGTCCTTTCACGCCCCTCTCTACCTCTATATGATCTAGATGATTAACCAGAGGCACTCGAAAATGGGCAAAAAAGAGGTGAAAAAAGACAGCCCAAGGTAGGGCTAAAACGATATATAAAACAGTACACTCACGTCGAGGCTTTCGCTAGAAACTGTCCAATACTTCATAGCACCGTGTACACATTTATGACCCCTGTTGTAGCATTGAGTGCAATACAAGTCTATGTAGATCGGACACAATCCCCATCCGGACACGCCGACCCCACCTTATGATCTCATATGCTCTTCCCTTTCACCTCTTTCTTTCGTCTTTGCTATATGAATACAACCCAAGAGAAGATGTCAAACCTCACTCTCCAGTCGAAGTACAAACTACAATCGGGACATGAGATCCCCATCCTCGGATATGGCGTGAGTAGCTATCATCATCCCCCGCAGAAGCCTCGATCACCGCTGACAATGTACTATGGTGAATAGGTCTACATGATGTATGTTTCAGTCCGTTCTATATAAACTGAACATTACTGATTACGAGTAGTCCTCCATCGAAGACCGAGAAGGCCACCGCAGAAGCTCTCAATATCGGATTTCGCCATGTATGTTGACATGCAATTGATCACAATCACAACTACCCCCAGCCAATGCTAATCTGGTACACCAGGTGGACTCGGCAATCATGTATGGCAACGAGAAGCCCTGCGGAACAGCAATCCAGAACTCCGGGCTAGATCGCTCAGAGATCTTCTTCACAACTAAGATCCCGCCTGAGTCTATGGGCTACGAGTCCACCAAGCGAGCTGTTAGTTCAAGTCTACGACAAGCCGGACAGGAATACTTTGACCTGTAAGTACCAATAACATCACTATCACTATCACCAGCACGCATATGCAACAACCAAACCTACACTGAACCGATCTCTAACAAGTATACCCTCAACCAGAATCCTCCTTCACGCACCCTACGGCGGCAAAGAAGCGCGCCTCGGCTCCTGGGACGCCCTAGTCGAAGCCCAAAAAGCAGGAAAGGCCAAGTCAATCGGCGTATCAAACTACGGAATCCATCACCTCGAAGAGCTAGAAGCATACATCCAAGCCGGCGGAGGCGGCCAAATCGACGTTGGTCAATACGAGCTACATCCGTGGCTGGATCACTCTGATATCGTGGAGTGGTTGCAGAGTAGGAAGATTGTTGTTGAGGCGTATTCGCCTCTGGCGCATGGGACCAGGCTTCAAGAGCCTGTTTTGGTTTCTCTCGGGGAGAAGCACGGGAAGACGCCGGCGCAGGTTTTGATTCGGTGGAGTTTACAGATGGTGAGTTTGGGTGTCCATGTGTCCATGTGTTTGTGTCTGTGTAGTGATTGCTAATTTGTTAGGGATTCGTGCCTTTGCCTAAGTCTGTTACGCCGGGGCGGATTCGGGAGAATATTGATGTTTTTGACTTTGAGTTGGGGGCCGAGGAGATGAAGTTGTTGGATACTGGGGAGTATGAGCCTACGGATTGGGATCCGACTGTTGATTCTGATTGAGAAAGGAGAGAGTAGGTAGATAGAGGTATATAAAAGAGAGGAAGAGAGGAAGAGAGAGAGAGGAACAGCCGGAGTTAAAGATTTGTCATGAGGGGTCGCGGGGAACGTTTCCTCCCACTTCTTCTCTACACAACTTTCCACAAAGTCTTCAGATATTAAGCAACTTAATCATGAAGTTGATCCTCTCCAGCTCGTGAGTAGTTCCATGCGCCCAACTAGTCTACCACTAACCATCCCAGAAATCTCATGCATGGCGGGCGTCAGTCCGTCATCCGCCAACCTCTCACCCAGAAATCAAACGTCGAACTAATTAATTCGCTCCGGTCGAACTTCCTCGCCTGGCAACAGATCGAATCGGCAAATACAAATGGAAACGGCCATTCAAACGGTTCCCGCCCGCCCGCCAGCTCATGGACGCACCAGGGCGAGGACGCCCTCTATATCCCCGCCATCGATTTCTCACAACCTGGACTAGCGGAAGAGCGCGATCAATACGATATCACAGTGAAACTATTCTATCTACCTGGGATTCCGGCGTCAAGGCGCTGCGCACACACGCGAGAGGCAATTGATTTGGTATTAAAGGAACTACATGTCAAGTCTATTGATCTACTGATCGTCTCGTTCCCCGGCATTCTGTTCGACGCCGACGACGACAGCGAGGAAGAGGATAACGAAGCGAGCAACGGCGAGCCGGATGATTTTGATAGCACGGTGCAGACATGGCGTGTGCTGGAGTCGCTGCATGAGCAGGGTATGATTGCGCAGCTGGGCGTTGCTGAGTTTGGCAGCGAACGGCTGGCCCGCTTCCTGCCTCATACCAAGGTCAAGCCTTCGGTTGATCAGATCAATCTGAAGGATTGCTGTGTCGTTCCCAAGTCTTTGATTCTCTATGCGAAACAAGAGCAGATTCAACTCCTTACTCATAATGACTGCAATGATATCCTTCCGGTTGGCACGACGCGGGAGTTGCTCGGTCCTTCGGAGAAGGGTGCTGGAATCTTGGCCTCATCGCCTGACGCTGACGATGGTATTAAAGGCGATGTCGAGCCGCAGTGGGTAGTCAAATATACGGCAGTCGTCAAGGATCGCGGAGTCGTCGAAAACAAGGGGTACTTTGCGTCGGCTGATGTCGGCACATGTGTCAAGGACCGGTCATGAATGTTCTTTCTTTGTTTCATTGCATCGTCACTGGGACTTATGTCGTGACAAGCGTGGCGTTCTTTTTGTTTTGACTCGGATGTATGTCAAATCTATTATATCTGGCTGCTTCCCTCTTCAAGACCACACAAGACTGTTTTAACCAAGCATACTTCGCTTGCGACCTCTCATGCGCACATCTTCAAGTCTCTTCAGCGCAGAAGGTGCGCCCTTGTAGCTCTCCCGGTAACCAAGCAGCAACTCATCGAACAGCGGCTCAGAGCGCGGATGCGTACTCCCAATCGCCCGCTCGAGCACATACAGATCCACCGCGCGGTCCTCATCCTGCGCACTCTGCGACGCAAGCCCAAAGTCAATCAACACGACATCCCCTTCCGTAGAAACCGACCCAACACCATCTGCGCCTGCCAATGGCCGCAGAATAAGGTTACTCGTAGTCAAATCTCCATGCACAACACCAGCCTTATGCAGCGCACCAATGGCAGCACCCATTTTCTTCAGTAAGCCGCGCACCCGTGCCTCTTCCTGTTCGATCTGCGACTCGTCCAGCGATGCCTGGTTCTTTTTCATCCATGCCTCCCACTGCTCCAGCACGACGCGCACCAGATCGCCTTCAATCCACTCCATCATCAGCCAGGCGCCGCCCCACCCGCCTTCCTCGCCGCCGTGGCCCTCCCAGTCCAGGGCCAGAAGGGCGGGAACGGATACGCCTTCTCGTACTAGTTTCGCGAGACATCGTGCTTCTTGGAGGATTCGCTGGCGGGTTAGGCGTCTGTCGAGGATTGGGTGACGGTAGGGTTTTGATGGGCGGATCTTGAGGGCCGCGGGGGTGGAGGGGTTGAGGGAGGTTGTTTTGTAGAGGTGTGCTTCGGCGCCTTGGGCGAGGAGGGTTGGCGGTGGTTCTGTGTTGTTGAAGGGTGAGGGAAGGGCTGGGGGTTTGTAGTCTTCCATTGTGAGGGCGTGTGTGGAATGTGAGGGAGGTTGGTGAGGTGAACTGTGAGGTTCGAGAAAAAGTTCTGGTGGGGCTCGGAGTATACGCGACTCAGTTGCTCTCCAATTCATAGTATTGCAATAATTATAATTATGAGCAATACCACGGCGCTGAATGGGCTGATATGTTTGTTACAACTTAACGAGAGCTTAGCTATGGGTAACTTAGAAGTCTTCGGTCTTTAGTGCAATTTATTATGACCTCACAATTGAACTACAGAGAAAGTCGAAGCAGACTACATGGCATTGAATGAAGTAGATACCCTCAAATTGATAAGTAATTCGAGCAAGTTAGTATATAATATAGCCACATAAACATTCACGTAGAAAATCTCATCCCTCCAAACCCTATACATGTATATGGTTAACATCTGTCTCACCATGAAACAACACGTAATAAAGTAATAAACATTACAGAACCCGAAAAAAAGCCCTGTAATCACAACAGATGGAGATCTGGCCGAACATTAGCCAGCCGACACGTCCCCTGATACATCCTCTCAAGAGTCGATCTCATAATCTCAATATCAATAGACTCAGCCGCCCAATGCTTCAATGTACGAAGCGAAACCCGGACGAGTCCAGCCCAGTTGGGCGGCACGCGCATCTGCCAAGTCCCCGCTGTCCGCGAAGCCTCGAGTTGGTATAGCACGACGCCGATGATGTGCAGGGCGCAGGAGAAGCTGGCGCGGATTACGTTCCAGATCCACTCGTGGCGGAACTGGTAATAGTAGTTTGGGATTAGCTGGACGCAGTTGTCGACTGCTTTTTGGGCTAGATCGAACACTTGCAGCCACAGTTGGTTGTCCCTCTTTATGAAGGTTGGCATGGTCTGGAAATGCATTGCTAGGTAGAAGGCTGGCCTGTAGATCCGTTCCAGAGCCATGTGGAACCGGCCCCGAAAGAAGAACATCAGGTCTGGGTTGTCTTTCGGGGATTGGATTCCCGCGATGGAGATTTGATACCTATGTTCGAGTTAGGGTATGGGTGGGTCCTCGGGGAGTCGGGGAGCAGGAGAGTATATACCATGAAGTCACAACATTCTCTGCTGCAGCTGATCTTTTCAAGAGATCGGGGATATCTTTGGTCCAGCCTTTCTCCCCCTGCCGCCACATATCGGCTAGCAGGTCATTAGTGGTTCGGCGGTTACAGATGGATCCGATGTAGAATTTCCACCCCTTTTCTTCTTCGGTGCCGCTTAGTTCAAACCCCGGTTTGACTGAAAAGTCTTGAGAATCATCCTGCCTCTGGTCCAAAGAAGGAGGTGTTTTGCGGGAGAATTTCGGGAATGGATCCGAATAACCTAGGCTTTCAAGCCCGCTGCTCCAGAGAGGGAGTTCACTTTGCATTTCACTGTGGATGGTTAGTATGTGATTATCCAACCACAAGATGAGACCTACTGCTCTGCTTGAATACAGGACCAGTACAGACGAGATTCCAAGTTATGGTAGTTGTCATCAGCAGTCCACTGTTCTCTACACAAAGACCGCAACCGAACCTCTAACCTGCAGGACGCTTGCTGGAAACAGAACCAGGCCTGCAGAGGGCGCATGGCATGTCTGTGGTAGCTACCAGCAAGCAGGAAGCACTGGATGTCAGTCGGGGAGGTGTGCAAAAACCCGAATCTCTGCTTTGCTGCGTGGAAATAGGTTTCAGCCAGATCCATATTGGCGTCTGATATGGGTGGCGGCGGGAGCCGATCAAAGTCAATAGTAATATCCTCGTCCGCCAATGGCACAAACTTAGAGGACGTAGATGAAGCCAGGGCGCACGCTAACAGCTGCAGGGCAATTTAGCTAAGACCTTTACAAGCAAATGGTCAACGTACCACCTGACACGATGGACCGTCCCATCCAAGACCCTGGACGGTGACTTCCTTGGCATACCGCTCGAGCATATCGAGGTCAACTATGGGATTTCTTCGATGACAGATCATAAAGTACTTTTTGCAGAGTCTAGGGATCTCATCGACAAAATGCCCGATCCCTACCTGCCGGGGAGGCGGGATACTTGGTGGCTGACTATCCAACGAGTCAAGCAAGAATGAGCGGATATGTTTCTCCGCTTCAGTTATGACTTTGTTGTAGATGGGCCAGTGGAGCATGTGCTCTCCAGAACTGGCTATGTAGAGAATTCGGGGGTCGTGATCAGGTCCCCGGTCCTCAATACTTGGAGCGGTGGTGCTGCTATGCGGATTGCTCCCCGACAATGATTCTGTCAAGGGACTAGTGTTCTGCATAGCAAGCTCAAAGAAGGATTCTTTGAGTGAGCGGCTCGATGATATGGTGGAGCCGCCCTCCGACTTGATCTCCTCCAGCAGACCGGCGATATGGTTCAGGCGCGAGAGGACCTCCTGGTTCGATGGATTTCCGGAGTCAAAGCCCGTTCTAGAAGCTAAGGTCAATGCCCAATCTATTCATCCACAGTTTCTCCTTCTTACTGGTTCTGCTGTGGTGAGGTTTCGGGGTAGTTGCACTCGACTCCCTGCACAGCACAGTAGCTGCAGGTTGGCCTGACATTGTCGCATCGAGTCTTGCGCAGCCGACAGGTCTGACAGGCTGTCGGGGCTCGTGTACGAATCTCACGCTTCCTAGCGAACTTCGGATCGGCAAATTCCATAGTAGACTCTTACTCTTTCTGGACATACAAGATGCAATTCGGGGAACGTCGGGGAGCCGCCGGGGAGATTGGAAGAAGGGCGAAAGAACAAGTGTGACCCAAGGACATTAGGGCGTACTTAGGGGAGCAATACCTCCGCGAGGGCTGTCCACTGGAACTCGGGTTGGAGACAAAGAAACACGCGGCGGCCGCAAAGCACCGGATTGATCGAGTGCTAACGGTTGTGGCGTAGGCCGGATGAAGTCAAAACTCAGTGCGAACAAAGAACGGTCGTTCGTGATGTGATGGCCAAACCCAGTCAGGTTAACCCCCATGGCTGCCTCAGGGGTTTCACGATGCTGATTGGAGGGCGATTAATTCCTTGGTGACTCCGGACAAGGGTGTGTGTGATGGTACCCAAAGGTTCCCTTTGGGGTTTCTGGGGAGCTTTCCGAAGTCACTCGAGCCCATCAAGCCTCCATTTCTCTTTTCGATCATTTGCAGCGCCTCACTTAGGAAGCTTTTTGCTGTTCCAGAGGGTTGGGAGGGTACTTGAAGTCTCAGGATCCGAGACATTCCGGGGGGTTAGGGTTGTGAGATGCTGTGAACGTTTGTGTAAATGTAAAGGCTTTTGATTTTTGAATATAACCTGGGAGGGAAGAGAAGCTTGTACCTGGGATCGTCTACAGTCGAGTTGGAAATTAGCTTCACGCCTGCACACACCCCAACCTTCTCATCATGGGACCGATGTGACCCTACTGTTGAATTGAGCTTATGTTGAGAGTCTCTCCAGGTCTCAGATGACTATCAAATACAATCCGAACCTCTCTATAGCACGGAACAAGGAAACTATTGTGTCAGGTCGTCATCAAATTCACTAACGCTCATCGCCAGTAGTCTGAGTACATGTACAAGCCGGGGAACAGGGTCCAGACCGGCGCCAAAATGGCAAATTCAAACGCCAAGGTAATGCTGATAGGTTGGATACAGAGTCATAGGTCAACTTCACCGAACCTTCCTCTTAGGCCTCCGTGCCAGAGGGGCATCGCAAAGTTCAGACCAGGTGTCTTCGAATACGGTTTTGCGCGGGCCAATCTGCCCTTCGTAGAAGTTCAACTTGCGCACAACCTCCATGGCACCTGTGCCCAGTCCCACCGTCTTGCCCATGATGATACATTCCGAAACACCCTCGATAAGATCGGTGCGACCAAGACCACCGGCGTCAAAGAGGTGGTCGGCAGTCTTCTCGAATGAAGCAAGCTGAAGCACCGAGTCTCGCATCTTGGCAAGACCGAAACGAGTGATACCCAGGACTTCACCCTTGTAAGTCATGACGTCTGCTAGGAGCTGCATGTGACGAGGATCGATGTCCATGTCCTTCATAACTTCACTGATTTCAGTGATGATAGTGCTTCGAGCTGCCTCGATACCTAGAACCTCCCGAGCTTCCATAACGTTGTTGGTCTTGGTGTGAAGTCCATCTACACCCGTAGTAGTCATACACTCCCTCAAACCGTAACCTTCCACGAGCAGAGTGTTGGTCGTGGATGTCTCGTCCGTTCGAATGATGGCACGGGTAGCGCGTGGGTGACCCAGAATTTGTATATGAGGAAGGATGCGCTTCAGATGCTTGAGGCGCAGGAAGGGATCAACACTCGTAGCTGCGATCTCGGTCTTAGAAAGGCCTGCTTTGCTGGCCGGATCAAGATCCATAAAGATCTTGATCGTGTATCTGGAGCATGAAAACTTAAGATCGCTTGCCTTGAAGCGCTTGTGGGTCTTGATAGTTTCGGCGATCTGGTAAGTCTTGATATCAAGTTGCAGATCGTCAATCGTCTGTTGATTGACATGAACCTTGAGATAGGCATCATCCTTGTTCCAGCATTCCGTGATAGAGTGAATGATGTCTGCGAGGTAGGTCTTTTCAATTCGTCCCTTGACAATGCGAGCGGCTGCGACAGACTCTTTGTTGACCAGGTCGCAAGAAACAACGGGAGTACTGATCTCTCTCGATGCGTTGATAATTTCCTTAATACGAGGAACACCCTGGGTAATACTCATACCGGCGACACCAGCAAAATGGAAAGTTTTCAGCGTCATCTGCGTTCCGGGCTCACCGATAGATTGGGCGCCAACGGCACCAACAGCATGACCGGGTTCGACCTGGGCCTTCTTGTACTTCAATAGACAAGCAGTAATGAAGGCTCTCAGCGTTGTGTTTGTCAGCTTGCCGGTGTGATCCAAAGCTTTACGGCTGCGCTCGTCGGAGGGATCAATATCGCCACCACGAGAGATCAACTTGTCGGCCTTGGTTTGCACGTATTCCTGGATCGAGTCAAGGAAATCACGGGCACTCTCGAATTGATCAATACCATGGTCACTGCGGTCCATGTACGCAAGATCATTGCCTAGCAAGTCCTTGCGCTGTAGCTTCGCACGCTCCTTGCCAAGCATCTCTTCGCACACCTCCATGATCTCAGCCGGCAACAGACTTCGCTCGTCGTTGTTGTAGGTAGTAGACTCGGAGTGAATGAAAGTCCGATCGAAGTAGACAGGCTTAGCCTTACCCTCCATATCCACAGGATCCAGTTTGTCGTCACCGTATTGGAACTGGACAATGGCAGCAGACGAGTTCCGAACGGTGTCATCGTACATTGACGACAAATCTTCCAGAGACTTCATCAGACGACGAGACATGTAACCAGTTTCGGCGGTCTTGACAGCTGTATCGACCAGACCTTCACGACCGGACATGGCGTGGAAAATGAACTCCTGAGGCTCGAGACCAGAGAAGAAACTGTTGCGAACGAAACCCTTCGACGGGGGCTGACGCGCATTCTTCGGGAAATGCGGTAAGGTACGGTCTTGGAAGCCGTCCTGCACACGCTGTCCACCAATAATTTGCTGACCGACAAGAGCAACCATCTGGGAGACGTTGATACTGGAGCCCTTGGAGCCAGATGTAGCCATGATTAGGGGCGAGTTGTACTTGCTGAGCTGCGCAATACACTCGTCACCGGCTTGCTGACGGACCTTACTGAGAATACCAGAAATCTGGTTCTCCATAGTCTGCAGTTCGTCACATCCAGGGTACTTTTCCAGGGTGCCGGCCTTGTACTGGGCAATGACTTCGTCACACTTTGCGTAGGCTGCTTCAACCAGGTCATTTTTCGACTGAACTAGCCTTGCACTGGGATAGACATCTGTGATACCAATCGAGAAACCCATGTTGGTGAACCATCTGGCAGAAAGTTTTGACAAACGATTCATGCCTTCGGCGGCTGCCGGTGGACCGAAATCTCTGAGCATAATGTAGAAAACGTTGTCCTTCTTTCCGGAACCGATCGTAGACTTGTCCATCACACCACACATAACTTCTGAGTTACGGATGACGAGCCAGCCATCATTGGGATCCAAGTCCTTTGGTCGGCCATCCTTGGGCATCTTGAATTCACGACATGCGGCATCAAGGTTGACCATGACGGGATCATCCTTGTTAGGGCGCATAAGAATGTTGAAGACTTGTTTACCAGTCCACAGCATCTGGGGCTTCATAACCGATGGCGGAGGGAGGTCGAATCGCGTTTCGGGGCCAAGCATGTAGAGACAGATCTGGGTGAAAGCGGCACGGTTGAAGAAATTGTCCTTGCTGCTCAACATGTAGGCGGCACTAATGAAATCCTGAATGGCGGAAATGATAGGCTCGCCGTTCTTAGGAGTAGCCAAGTTATTCTTCACACCCATAAGCTCCATCGCCTCTGCTCTCGCTTCTTCCGTCTGCGGCACGTGAAGGTTCATTTCGTCTCCGTCGAAATCTGCGTTGTAAGGATTGCAGACACATTCATTCAGACGGAATGTCCTATGAGGCCGGACTTTGGCAAAGTGAGATAGAATACTGAGCTTGTGAAGGGAAGGCTGTCGATTGAACAGCACGATGTCGCCATCCTCGATATGACGCTCGACCATATCACCCTCTTGCAGTTGGTCGGCCATCCACTGGGTATTACCGAACTTGAGCATCTGCTTGAATCCGTTTCCTTTCTTGACGATCATGTTCGCTCCGGGCCATTTTGAGCTTCCATTTGCCACACGTTGTTGCAGTTTCTCTTTGTTATATCTGGTCACAACTTCAGGATAGGTCATGTTCTTCGCCACTAGCTCTGGAACAGCAACCTCATCGACACGCAAATTAGGATCAGGTGAAATAACAGTTCGGCCAGAGAAATCAACACGCTTTCCGGACAAGTTACCACGGAAACGACCTTGCTTTCCTTTCAATCGTTGAACGAAGCCTCGGATTGGCTTTCCAAGATCGGCTTTATTGAGACCAGGCACATCGCTGTTGATGTAGACAGCGATCTGGAGCTGCATATAGTCCCAGCACTCCATGATGGTTTGAACCGGAGCGCCCTTGAGCAAAGCATTCTTAAGGTTGATGTTGCTCTGCACAATATCACCCAGCTTAGCTGTCAAATCATCTTCCGTAGACGCAGAATCTTGTCCCACTGAAGGTCGAATACAAACGGGAGGAGCTGGAATGAATTGCCAGAGGAACATCTCCGGACGTGCCTCCTTTGGGTTCATACCGATCAACTCACAGTCGGAGTCGGACATTTTCTTGAAAAGCTTCAGCACGCGAAGAGCATTCAGGTCATCCTGTGCCTTTTTAAAATGTTTCTCAACCTCCGCATTCGCGCTTCTTGCCTCGGCGAAAGAGTTGTCGAACACATCCTTGCTAATAGGAGTCTGCTTTTTGACGGACGTGGAGGCGTTGAATGCGCGGAACTTGTCGTGTGTGATCTTTAAGGCGCTTGTTCCAGTCTTCTTCACGACACCGTTGATTGCTCCACAATTTCCACACTCACGAGTTTTCCGGCAACGTTCATTAATTCGCTTCGCAATCTGGTTCCGCCGTAGGTTATCGAGGCCAGGGCGACGCATCTCACGAAGGAAAGCACGGCGCTCGGCCTCGGGGAGTAGGATGTGGGAGCATTCCTTGCAAATTTCTTGCAGAATGCTAATAACGCGCTTGAAATAACCGACGTGGAAAGAAGGAAGGACGAGCCTCACATGGCCGAAATGACCATTACAGTCTTTGAGGTTGTTTCCGCATGTTGCGCAAGCGTCGGTCTTATTCGAGATACCCATACGCTGGTCGAGAGGTCCATGTGCAACCACTGTTCGGGCTTGGTCTAGGTCGAAGAACTTTCGATCGGAAACCTCCACCACGGCTTGGCCGACAATATCATCGTTGGTTCTGCGAACACGAGTCTTCATTAGCGATCGATTCACAACCAACCATTGCGTCAAGCGCTTGTGGAACAACTGCGTACAAGACACCAAACTTCAATTCCTTAATCACTTTAGGAACGCGATCAATGACCTGGGCCTTGCCCAGGTCAACCTGCGCACCCTCTGGAGGCTGCATCGCCGTCGTCAAATGCGGAGCATGGCAGGGTGACTCAAAGAGATGCGATCGGCATGGGCGGGTGTCAGCCGCAAGAACCAAATTGAAGGTTCAAAATGATATCACCGAGTCCCTTGTCCGTAGGTTTCCTAGATATAAGCTACAGAGCTTGATCGAGGACTCTGAGACACGGTGAGCGGAATTGGAGATGAGCAGAGAAAGAAGTTGTTGGCGGGGTCCGACACGAACTTTTTTTCTGCCGGCGAAGCTCTCACCGCTGTCACACTGCATGTATACAACAAGAGTCATAAATGTGCACACGGTGCTATGAAGTATTGGACAGTTTTTATGCGAAAGCCTGAAAGTGAGTGTAACATTTTATATATTGTTTTAGCCCTGCTTTGGCTTTATTTTTTTCACCTCTGTTTTGCCCATTTCGGGTGCCTCTTGTTACTCATCTAGATCATATATAAGGTAGGGGTACGAAAGGACTTATGGCCCCTGTTGTATTGTACATTTCATTTGCTATTTTACATCTTTATTTTACATCTTTATTTGGCGTTTTTTTTTGCCTATTTAGCCAAGAATGCTTGGAATGCCTTATGTTCGATCACCACATTTCCAACGGCCCGCAGCCTCTTGCGGCCTTCTTTTTGCTTCTCAAGCAGCTTGCGGCGCCGACTCACATCACTGGCATGCAGCTTGGCCAAAACGTCCTTACGGTATGGCTTGATGGTCTCACGCGCAATAATCTTCTTGCCAACAGCAGCTTGGATGATGATCTCGAAGAGCTGTCGGTCGACGTGCTCCTTGAACTTGGTAACCCAAATTCTTCCTTGTCGGTTCACCTGGCTCAAATGCATGATTCGTGCTACAGCATCCACGGGCTCTTTGTTGACCAGAAGCTGCAGCTTGACAATGTTACCTGCTCGCCATGCGGATTCTTCGTAGTCCAGACTGGCGTAGCCCTTGGTGCCTCCTTTCAGTTTTCCGAAGAAGTCATCAACCAAGTGCGCTAGAGGCAGTTCATACTTCATGATGACCTGCGTCGTAGTAAAATATTCAATGCTAATTTGCTCGCCTCGGTTGGCTTCGCAAAGCTCAATGACCTTTCCTAGGTATTCTTCCGGGAATGTCAAGGTGACCAAAACATAGGGCTCTTGGACCTCCGCAACCTTGAGCCGGACGCTATCGTCATCGGGGAATTTAGCTGGATTTGTGATAATATCCTCGGCGCCATCTTTCCACACGACCTTAACCGGGACGGAAGGAGGTGTAATGATGATACTGGCGCCGTGCTCTTGCCTGAGACGGTCCTCGAACACGGAGCAATGGAGAGTGCCTAAGAATCCCATGCGGAACCCGGCGCCTAAAGCCTCAGACGACTCTTTTTGCACGGTGATACTTCGGTCATTCAGGATGAGCTGGTTGATGCTGTCTTCCAAGTGCTCGAAATGATCCGCATTCACTGGATATACTGCGACGAAGACCATCGACTTTGGCTCTTCGAAACCCGGCAAAGGCTCTACGAGCTTTTCTGAGCCAACCCTGGTGAAGGTATCGCCGATCTTGGCTTCTTTACTCCGCTTCATGCCTGGGTTGAAGTAGATGTAACCGACCTGGCCTGCACGGAGGACAGTTTGCGCGGTCTCGGTTGGATACATAATGCCAACTTCGCCCACATAGTACTTGAGTCCCGTAACAAATGAGACGAGTTGCTGGCCTGCACGCACCTCGCCGTCGAACACACGGACTAACAAAATCACGCCCTTGTAGGAGTCGTACCAAGAATCCACAAGCAGCATGCGAAGAGGTTTTTGAGTATCGCCAATAGGTCTAAAGAAAGTCAGTAAAAAATCATTTGATCACGTAGGCCCAGTTTGAACTTACGCGGGAATTTTCTCCACGACTGTCGGTAGCACAGCTGGAACATTCAATCCAGTCTTGGCCGAAACCATCACCGCGTTCTCCGTGTCAATCTCAAAAGTGCTCCTCATCTGCTCCAGAGCCCGCTCTGGATCCGAAGATGGCAAGTCAACCTTGTTGAGGATAGGAATCAGCTCGAGGCCTTGCGCAAACGCCAAATAGAAGTTGGCAACCGTTTGCGCCTGGACACCTTGACTGGCATCCACCAAGAGAATGGCACCACCGCAGCTGGCATAACTTCGCGACACCTCTGCACGGAAATCCACATGGCCTGGAGTATCCACCAGATGTAACAAGTAGTCCTCGCCCTTGTAATTATAAATCATCGTACACGTTTGTGCTTTGACTGTGATTCCTCGCTCTCGCTCAACATCGAGTTTGTCCAAAACTTGCTTGTTCATTCCAGCTTTGATAGTGCCCGTCAGCTCGAGGAGTCGGTCGGAGAGTGTGCTTTTGCCATGGTCGACATGGGCGACAATGCAGAAATTGCGATAGCGTTCAATTGGGATCGCGGAGATTCGTTGTTCGAGATTTGTATCCAATTTGATCGGCGTTATTTTTGAGCGTGCAAAACATGTCCTCGACGTAGAGAACAATCGGTTGTATCTTAAGGATGGAAAGCCAATTGGTGGTTGAAGGCTAGCGGCCTGGCATCTCGGCGCTGCGCTCAACCATCGGCCTAACCGCAGACATCCTCGCATTGGGACTTCTGTGGCATAGAAGCAAATGGTAATGCGGTCGAGATAAAGTATTCCGGCGTTTCGGTGCTGGCGAGGTCTCGGGGGTTGCGGAGAAAAAACGGGCGCGGGCGGTGACTGCGATTTATTGCTGCAGTGACTATCGACATAAACAAACCTCTCCCACCTTTCACCTCAAATCTTCCATCTACCAGCCCATCATGCCTGAAGCAAAGGATAAGTCAAAGGTGCACAAGCTGTCCATCAAAGGTTGGTCTCCTGTCGTCCAGCTTTAAATACCGGTCTCACAAGATCATAGGATCGGCGAAGCTTGTGTCCGAATTCGTGAGTATTGATTTCTCGGACAAGAGATCTCAGCTAACAGCTTCAGTTTGAATACTCGATCAATTCGATCCTGTGAGTGATATTTATAAAGATCTCGAGACAATAGCTTATCGCATTGACCGCAGTTTCCAACGAGGTGTCTATCCTCCAGAGGATTTCATGACGTACGTCTTCTCTTCTATTCTCTTTGATAACATAGTCCAGCAAGCTAATCGATAGTAGGATTAAGAAATATGGCCTCAATATGCTCGGTTCGTTTACTGAATCCGTCATGGATAGACCGCAGGCCTAACCTACTCGCAGTGTCCGCCGACGACCAGGTCAAAGCCTACATCAAGAAGATCATGTCGCAATTGAATAAATGGATGCAGGGAGGCAAGATTTCTAAGCTTGTGGTGGTTATTACAAGCAAGGAGACTGGCGAACATGTGGAAAGATGGCAATTCGACGTATGTCCTCCGCGTTTGACTTGCTATCCGACTCAGGCACTGATCATTCTGGTGGTTTAGGTTGAAATCTTTGGCAAGCACTCCAAGAGCAAGAGTGCCCAGAAATCTACTGATAAGGAGAACGCTACACTCGGGTGTGTTGCATACTATCGACAATTGATATTGGTCATTTCGCTAATAATACTTCGCTTCTACCAGAGATGCGGATCCCCAATCCTCCGAGCCTATTGAGAAGAACGAGAAGCAAATCCAAGAGGAAATCCAAGCTATCTTCCGCCAGATTACTGCCTCTGTCACTTTCCTTCCTGTCCTGGATGGCGATTGCACCTTCAATGTCCTCGTCTACGCCGATGCCGACTCAGATGTCCCCGTAGAATGGGGTGACAGTGACGCCAAGGAGATTAAGAATGCCGAGAAGGTCCAATTGCGCAGCTTTAGTACAAACAACCACCGAGTGGGAACTCTGGTTAGCTACCGCTTGTCTGATTGAGTTCTATGTGAGATGTGATGATCAAATACGAAGGGTGCTCCATGGGTTGGCGTTTCAGGAAAGGATCAAGGTATTCAACTTATTACTTGAGAAGTGTTGGAGTTTCCAATAAAGGCTTTCTAGTTTTATGACTTCTATTCTCTCTAATATAGTGGCTTTCAAGAGTTACAATACCCCGGGTGGTGTCTCAACCAGAGGATGAGATGTTATCGAATAGTCTCTAATGTGGTATTAAAGTAACAAAAGAGACAGCTCAAAGCGATAATATTGACAGCGGCAAGTTTCAAACCAGAGGAGTTCCTGCATAAGACCATGGCAAGCTCTCTCTACCCGAGAACCATTCATTGCAATGATTACCACCATCATATCGAATCAAATCCAACACCACATCCTCCAAGCCCAAGTTGGAGAACAATACATTCTCCATCCCAGGGGACCAACCCCGTTTTATTCGCTTGCCGACGAGACCAGTATTGACACCGTAAAGATCTTGTCGCCAGAGCCCAATCCCGTTCATTGCCTCTCCTCGAATCAGTGTTTCGGAGGGAGTCACTTCCTCTGGTGGATTGATTCCAATAACTGCGACGTTCTGCGTATCGGGTCCCTGTCCTGATTCATAGCTGACGGGTACAAGTCCCAAGGCGGGGAAGTGACACTGCATGAATCGTGCACGCTTGAACTCGTGTGTCACGACGGTGACCCGTCGTGGATAGACACCTGTATATTCCCGGAAGCGTATTATAGAGAACAGAACATTCTGATATGAGTCTGTCGCGTGGGTCTCGGCGATGACTCGTAATGGGTCAATTGTCGGAATTTCAGAACTGTCTTGGAAATAGTTGTTGTCTTTGGCTAGATTCTGCTATGCATTAGCCTTCTTGTTTTCGAGTCAACAAGTGGAGAACTGACGAGGTAAGATTGCCCTTCGGTGAGCTCAGTCCTTGGCTTCTTGGTAGGTCCTCTGTTATATGGTTAACTAGGTTCAGATGAAGTGTGATGAGAAGCTATTACCCTGAGAATACGAGAATGCCATTGTGGTCATCTGCTATAAGTCTTAATCCGGCTTTGATATGGTTGATAAACGTGAGCGTTTCCCTACGCTGAAAGGGCTCAATCAACCTAGATACGCAAAGTGAAGTGTGAGATGCCAGTTTTCAATCTCAAGATGTGCAATCCTCACCGTACCATTCTTGTTCAGAACCTCCAAGTTTAGGCCCTCCTGTATAGATTGCATGGCAGCAGACGATTATCAAGTGGCTGCACTCCGTAAGGCTTTCTAGATTTGATGTCATGATATTTTTCCGACAAGATAAATAAAGTCGTTGGTCACATTAAGGTATAAAAGCAGACAGATGAGACGGGGGCGGTAAGACGTTCACAGCTTCCCCGACTTTTCACAGTGGAGCCTAATCCAACTTATACTCCTACTCTCCTCCGGTGAGCCTCTTTCTTCCTATTGTATATTCTCTGCCATTCTCGACTATGCGGGATTAGCCCCCACGCAATGAGAGATTTATCCTGCTCCGTCGTCAAATCCAACCAAGCAAGCAGATCCTGGCGACGTTCTGGTTTCTTGGGTGCTGAACTACTTTCCAAGCTGCCCAAAGGTGTTGCACTGAGTCTTTGTTGTATGAAATCTTTCTCCAAGACCACTTGCACAGTGGTTGGCTTAGTTTCCTCTAGCTCTGGCCAATCCATGTACCTCTCAGGATAGGTAGACACGGTGGCTTTTAGGGTTGAACTGACCCAGCAGCTTCTCGGTTCTGTTTCATCACTGTGGCTCCATTGATTGCGAATGGCTTCCCATATGCGTGAGTCCTCGCAGCCAACTCTGTGGGCAACGAGAACTGTGGTGACAATGATCACCGCTACTGTGACAATCTGTGTATACAAGCCGGCCATGCCGATGCTGACGACATGCACTGCGAAGAAGACCCAGCCGGCCCATTGGCATGCCTCATACCAATACGGGTTTGGCGGCTGAGGGTTGATGGCAAATGCTAGCTTTGGCAGGTACCCCGGGACAACGAGAGTGACGACCTTCGAGTCCTCTGTCACGACAATCACCTTGGCGATTGCGTACGGGTCTTGAGGTTCGATGGGTGGCTCAACATCTTTCTCTTTTCCCTGTTGGTAAAGATCCTTGAATATTGCCATTGATTTCTCATATTCAGCCCGCTTGGCTGGGTATCTTTTGCTTTCTTTCTCAGCTTCTTCTTGGGCTCTTCGGATATTCGCATCGATCCCGGCCTGGTTCTGTGCCACCTGGAAACATCTCAATGCCACCGAGGCTATCATGGATATGACATTGGCAAATCCCCACCAATCCCTCGCCAGAACAGTCAGCGCAATAAGCACACCGTGCACCGGCAACCCGATAAGCAGAAAGCCGACGATGAATGATGTCCATCTGCGCGGCCTCTCTCCGACCTCCCAGGTGACAATACTGCGGACCTGGTTAAATGACTGCGTCTGGAGCCAGCGCGAGAACCAGCCTGCTAGTTCTGTTGTCATGATGCCGACCGAAATGTTGCAGAGAGCGGACCCGGGCTTCTTCACGACGAACCGGTTGCCGGCCACCACGAAGGCCCCCAGTAACGGTAGATAGTCAAGATACAGGCTTGGGACGAGTCGCCCAATGCTGCGATCCATTTCCTCCGCACCGAGGAGCGTGACGAGACCGAGGGCATCGATCTTGAGCCCTGTGCCCTGGGCCCAGGAGCTAAGGCGCTGGTGCCACGAGTACATATCGAATGGTGAGCAACTTCACAAGTTACAGTGGCCACGATTATCTACACCGATCTAGATTTGAGACTATGATAATCATGATCATGGTTATTGTGATGGTTGATCCTTTGTCTACCCACTTCCCGAATCAGCATTTAGCCCGGCACTAGTGGCGTCTTACTGCATACAACCTGCCCTATCAGAGACCACGCTCTGCCATTATTGCAGCTGAATGCTCAAATTGCCAGAACTGACAGGGCCACGGGACGGCTCGTCTACTTTCTTTCCGCTTCTGATGGCTTCACTTTGCCCGTGGATTCCGCATATTCTTATTTTTGCGTTTTCATGACTGCATATCCATTATCATTCGACGCATTGAGCTGCAATTTGAACTATTCCTTGAATTTATCCCCGGTCTATCATGGACCAGGCAATACTCTGCATTTCTCTCGGTTTTTCGTGACCTCAAACCAACGTGGACATGCAGAGACGAAACCGTGGCGTTGGGTCCAAACTCAGATGCGGACCATCTACTTGCGAAATGAGTTGTTGGTTGAATTCACCCGGGCAATGCTTAACTTATGCAGGGGTCATACGTCCTGTCACACTCCCACCTTTATGTGATCTTGATGAGTAACCCGAAGCAGTCGAAAATAAGCAACAAAGAGGCGAAAAAAGAGAGGCCAAAGTACGGCGACAATAATGCATGAAACGGTATAGTCGCTCGATGCATTCGTGGTAGAAACTGACCAATACTTATGGCACTGTGTACACATTTATGACCCCTGTTGTAGTCAACGCACTAACACCCCGATCGATCTCAATTGGACGAAGCTTTGCAAGCATTTGCTGATATGTTCGCAGCTGACGCTCTTTACCCGTCCTGTGAAGATGGTCCACACAATGCGTCAGACGCTAACGCACAAATAGGTAGAGCGCAAACTAACTACCTCGTATAGCCATGCAATGGGGTCGGGCTAGACCCGAATGAGGCGCTGACGGATGATCTGATCCCCCTTCCTTCCCCTGGGGGCTGTAAAATTATGCGTATCTCATTGGTACATTCTGAGCCATAGCGCAGTGGCTACCGACCCCCCTGGGTATCTCCATTAGAAACGAGGGTATCCATTGATAAAAAGGGAAATCTGCTCGGCTTTGAGCCGTGACTTTTGTGGGATCAGCGACTCAGCGCGCCATATCCTTTATCCTCCTTAGCAACTGGTCCTCCCATTGAGACCCGTGTCTTGGTCCCCGAGATGGCTCCTTTCTTTCCATTTTGGCGCAAGAAGCCGAGCGTGGTCGAGATCGAGGAAGCTGAAGAGAATCTCAGGCATCGATACAATGGCCACCAGCATTGGGCCTCTGGGAAACGATTCAAGCGTCCTCTTATCAGCCCGGAAAGCCTACCAGAGCGCAGGCTGGAGCTTGAAGATCCCAAACACAGCTACGGAAAGCAGAGTTATCTCAATCCCAACAGGGAGAACGACCATAAAAAGTACATCGATCTAGACACGTACTACAGCACCAACAAATCATTTCCCCGTCGACTTATCGTGCAGGCGACTCCAGAGATCTACGCAGGGAAGGATAATCACCCGCGTCACTGGGGCCGAAGCCGCATCCATGGCAAGGTGCCTTTTATAATCTCCCTGTCCGAATTCTGCTTGAATCCATTTGGGTTTCGCCGATACGAGGGCACTCCAGATGAAGAAGATGACGGGGATGGGCAGAGGCAGGCCCGAAAGGAGAACAGGATATTAACAATTCTCAAAGGCATTCTGCATTGGATCACGTCGACTGTGCTCACCTTGTCACTGGCATGGATTATTCAACTCATGATCTCTGTTGAAATTGTTACCTCTCCGTGGAATGACGACGGCTCAGCTGAGCCTTACGAGGAATACCAAAATGTTCACTGGCATTGGCCCAAGCATGCGATCAATATGCTCGATCAGTCCCCGGCAAATAATCACCCCCAGTCAAAAGTTGCCAAACTTACGATTCCTCGTAGCTTGGTGGTCAGAGATGAGGCCTCCGGTGCATGGGTATCCAAGAACACCAAGGACCTGCGCGACAAGAAGACGGGTATGCTGCCATTATACATCTTTCTAAGTTTTTCGCGCGCCAATTTCGTCGGCACGGATGAAGTCAAATTGAGAGAGATCCTCTACTCGGTGGCCGAACGCATGCTTGAACACGAGAATGTACACAGAGATCCGCAAACGCCTCCTCTTGAAGCATTCTGGGTAGATGTCGATTGCGTCTCAGGCATCACAGACATACCAGCCGGAGCCAGCGAGTCGCCAAAGACTCAAGATGTCAACTCGATTTGTGATGCGGTACGCCGTGCATATCGAGTATACATAGTCCTACCCAGTGACAGTGTATCTGCCAGACAAACGTGGGGGAGCCGGATATGGACACTGCCGGAAGTCCTTCTTGCTGCAAACAAAACCCGATATTGCTTCACGGAGTCTACTGATATTGATCTGCTCGCGCCGCATGATGTTTCATTGAACGACATGTATGAAAGTTTTTGGAAGCCACCCACAAACGACGAGCAGGTGGAACACGAAGATGCGATAGGTCACCTCATAAGCCACTATAACAATACTATCAAACTTAGCGAGCTTCAACTATTCACCTTTGCAGTCCAGGTTATGACGAAGCTATCCCAGGGTAGGGATGTCGAGGGGTATACAACTAGAGACATGGCCTATGCCGCTATGGGTCTGTTGTCGTATCGGATCACACCTTGCGACGATGATAATACCTTCCAGGCTATTGCACGGCTATCTCTTGTGAATGATAGCAACCAACTCCTCGAGCGTCTCGTTTGTCTATGGCCGAAACCGGAAAAGAACCCGCGACCTTTGCAGACACAGCAAGACTACGCTTCAGCCGGTAGTGAAACGCTTCTTTGCAATATCGCCGATCGGGATCAATACTTGACTCATTTGTGGGATATTCATCCTACCTGTGATGTCGTTGGTATTGGTGACGACTCATACGAACCCACGATCATCATGGACCGTTGCAAGGGTATTCCCATCCGCTGGAAGGATTTCCCAAGGCTGAGATACGCCAAAGAAATCAAAGGTTTCGGAGCAACGGCATCGCAATCAATTGTCTATTTTGGCGCCTGGGCTCTGGCGACCGGCTTCGGTCTCTTCTCGACTGCTATGGCCCTTGCGGTTGCACTGTCTACTGGGGGCAAGACAGGAGAGCAGGCATCTAATACCCAAGCAAATGACGGCTTCACAAAAGCCCAGCTTGAAAACTTGAGGACTGAGATTATACCCAACTATTTGGTGTCAATTGGTATCTTTTTTGCCCTAGCGTGGATCATCTCCTGGTTCGCTCCGTGGGCGGTACGACAGCTTTGCAATCAAGGCACTAAGGGAACATCAAGCCATCTCGTCGGATTCGAAGGCACCATGTCGCTACATCGTCTGGAAAAGGCGATGTACGGAAACTATAACCACCGCCTGTCATACGCAGCCTCGTCGACTGTCTTCTCGAGAACTCTGCACAAATCCAACATCCGAGTTGGCAGGGAACCACTGGATGGGGACCATTGGAAGAAAGAGATGAAACGACTCGGCTTCCCAGACTCGTATCGCCTCTTTACGATCGTTGACACGGGTAGTATGACCGTGTCCGTGATTGCCGCTGAACGACCACCCGTCGTAGCCTTGATCTGTGGCCGGGAAGGTGGCATGCTCCGTGTCCTTCTTTGCAGCTGGCGCTTTGAGCGAAACTGTCTGTACCGCGAGTGTGTTGTGCGTATGCGCAGCTCGCTGGAGGAACAGGCTACTTATAATGATTGGCTGAAGATCAGCTTGGCTAGTCAGGGTGATGTTGCCCGTACTCGTGTCAGTCATCTTCAGTATCTTCGGCAGAAACAAATGGATGAGGAAAAGGCCCGGCTCAACGAGGAGAAGGTTAGGCAGCGGAAGCCTGTTTCTGAAGAAAGTACCTTGAGCACTTTGAAAGGCCCGCCTTCGCCTCGTGTCTCTCATTTTTCGGCTGGTGATCAGGAACGCTTGGATCGTGTAGCAGGACAGTAGGTATCAGTGGTCTCTAAGTCAAGTTCATCTTAATATTTAATGGAACTATATTATACCGCTTGATGTCTTTCTAGATTTCTACAACATCTTTGGTAAAAGTTGTAGGTTCATGCATCTACTCCTTGGTATAGGGTTACAGTGCAACGACACCCTCAGGCACATCAACACCCTCCAGAATAGTCGGATCATTCTGAAACGCCTCACTCTCAACAACCTCCTTCAACACCTTATACACACTTCGTTCAATAACCACCACCTCAGGATCCCCTATATCCGTCGCACTCATAACGCGACAAAGAAACCGAAACGCACACACCAATGCATCCTTACCATACACACGCCCAAGTAAAGCAGGCATATACGTCGGCTGAACAGCAGGCTCGCCCTTAACCCCATCAACATTAAGAGCCCTCTCCAACCTCCCCCGGGTCCCCTCATCCAAAGCATCCCACGCAGCCTCGTACAAAAGCGCCTTGTCGCGCGTAGTAACATTACCCAGACAAAACAACCGCATCAATGCCCGATCCCTGGGATCCCCCTCAAAATCGAATTCCCGAACACCTTCCTCTAAGCAGAGGACAGCCGCTCTCCGAATCAATATCCAGTCATACCCGCTGCGGAGAGTCAACGTCCCAGTAGTGACACCCTCGTATACTTCATAAACATGGCGATATCCCTCGAAAATAGGCTGGATGAGTTTCTTCGCGCATGTCCAATCCATGTGCCCCGCTGCACCGGCTATATCGAGTATCTGCTCCATAAAGCGGATTTGGAAACTGCGTTTGGACCCCTTCATTTCTAGCAAGGCTGTCAGGCAGGCGGGGGCGTTTTCTGCTTGGGCCAGTTGGCCAAAGTTGAAGGTGGCGCCTAGTTGTATTGCTTTGAATATATCTTCTCTATCTTGGGCTGGGAGGGTATCCAGTGAATGGATTAGACCGTGTTTGCAGGCTT